AGAAAGGATATCGCTCAGAGTACTAGAAAAAGTATAAATAGCGTTTGGACGCAGTGACCAGTGATATTTTATTCTCATGCCAACGGCCGTCGAGGGTTCGACTCTACCAGTGGGACAACCAGTCTCTCTTCGATTCGTTCATTTCGTTTTTGAGATGGTAAATTGGTACTGGCATGTGCCGGTGAGGCAATGAGCCGCCACTGGCTTACTTATAAGAAATTCTCGAGAGGGGGAACCATAGACAGGCCTGTCAGAGAGTGGTTGGTTGCTGTTGGCACTTGCTACCAATTAGATTACTTTCGAATTTTGTCTCCGCCCCCTCACGGACAATAACTATAAAAGGGTTATGACTTTGTCTTGCGACTTAATGGACTGAAACGTCTTATCACTCTCTCATTCCTCTCAACGCTTTGACCTTTATCTTTTCGTTGTTCCGACTGTGCGTAGCGTCTTAATATGCAGCTTGTTGACCAACTCTCATCTTTGTGCCCCTCCACTTCTCCAGGTTCTCCAGTTAGCCCGGATCGGCCTATTTAGCAGTATTTCCTTTCAACGTCTGGGCCAGAAGAAACCGTAAGAGTAGAAATTTGTCCTTTTTTTGACTTAAATTGATAGGGTGAAGTGTTGGTAGAAAATTCCTCGACAGAGTAATGGATGCTGTAGCACAACGACGGCATTTTCTAAGTATGGCTTGGATTGACTTCCAGAAGGCGTTTGATTCAGTACCGCATGACTACATATGATGGTTTTTAGACAGCATTAACACTCCAATGAAGGTAAAGCAGGTCGTTCAACGACTTATGCGCAGATGGAGTACATGCTTCGTACTGAATCAAAGGCACATGTTTCCTCGGTTCAGGGACAACAAGGTCTGGCATAGCTACGTGTGGCGTAACAGATGTCTATCAGTAACATCACTGATATGGGATATCCACACTGATTGTCCTGTCGATTTTGGTACCCGAATAATCTAAAACGGTGCTATTTTCCAGCAGCTATGCGGGCATTCCTTTTATTCTCAGTGCGTTTTTCACCAATACCTCAGAGTCAGGCCTTTTTTACCTGACTTCCTAAACAGCCCTCGGGAAAATCGCGAATTTACCAGCCAGTAGAAATACTTGCTGTTGGCGAATTGCCAATTCCTCGGATCGTTCTTCTCATGCTTCTACGCCAACAGATTGCCGGGGTGTCTTAATTTCAACTTTTCAGATATTCACACAATGGGCAAAAAATCGAAGGCGGCGAAAAAAGACAAAGACGAGGTCATGGACGTTGGCGTAAGTATTCATATTTTTCATTTTGTTGTTTTTTTTTTCTTTCCTAGCAACAGTGCACAACCATATGTGTGTATATTTATATACGTATGCGTGTGTGTGTGTGTGTGTGTTTGTATGTATGTATGTATGTATAGATGGATGGATGTATGTATGTATGTATGTATGTATGTATGTATGTATGCATATATGTTTGTATGTATGAATGTATGTATGTATGTATGTATGTATGTATGTATGTATGTATGTATGTATGTATAGATGGATGGATGTATGTGTGTTCTGCGTGTGTGCGCGCATGCATGTACAGCCGCGGAAGTCCAGCGAAAAGCCTGCAAGAATTGATGCTGTGCTACATGAAAAGCAGTGTCAGATAAAGCAGAGTGATATGTATGCGAGTTGTTTATATACAGTTATAAGTGTTCCTCCAACTGCTACGTGGAGCAAAGAAGTCGATAGTGTAATGGATAGCACAGTACGATTCGAAGAATCTAGAGGTAATGGAAATGAGTGATTTGGTTCTGTCTCAATTGTGGTTCAGTCCCCTCCCCGTCTGTAATCATTTGCAAGGGGGACTTCAGAATGTGGTATATAAGTACATTTCATATATTTATATATAAACATGTGCATATATTGATGTTTTTGAAAATGTACATATGTGTTTTTGTGTATCTGTTTATGTATTTGTGTGTGTTTGTGTGTATTTGTATGTGTTTTTTTGTGTGTTCGTGTGTGTATATGTTTGTGTGTGTACGTGTTTGTGTGTATGTGTTTGTGTGTGTATGTGTTTGTGTGTGTATTTGTTTGTGTGTGTATGTGTTTGTGTGTGTATGTGTTTGTGTGTGTATGTGTTTCTGCACGTGTGTGTTTGTGTGTCTGTGTTTATGTGTGTATGTGTGTGTTTGTGTATATGTGTTTTTGTGCGTATGTCTGTGTTTGTGTATATGTGTTTTTGTGTGTGTGTGTTTGTGTATATATGTTTGTGTGTTTGTGTATGTGTGTTTGTGTATGTTTGTGTGTGTGTGCTTACCTGTGTATGTGTGTATATGTATGTGTACATATTTGTGCATATGTGTGTGCATGTGTGTTTATGTTTGTGCATGTTTTTTTGTATATGTATGCGTGCATGTATGTGCATGTGTGTATGTATTTGTATTTGTTTGTCCGCGTGTGCATGTGTGTGTGTGTGTGTGTGTGT